TTCTCAGAGACTCAATCTCTCTCTGGCAGGCGTCGTGGTTCGCCTGCTCCCTTTTAATTTGATTTTGTTCGGCCAGGTATGCAGCCGCTTGTGTGGCCTTGGAGAGTCTCTCCTCGGTTTCTGCTAGTTTTTGTTCTGCTAACTGAGCACGGCGGTTGGCTTCCTCCGCCTTTCGCTTGGCCTCCTGAGCGGCTTCGGCCAGACCCTGTTTCGCCAACAGCTGATCTAACTTTTTTGCCCTTAGCTTGTGGAGCTCCTTTTCGTGCACCTCCTTTAAATCCTCCAGTGCCTCCTGTAAGCATGCGATCTCTTGCTCGAGGGATTGTTGTGCTTCCTGGTGCTTAGTGTGCAGGCTTGCTATTTCCTGCTCATGAGATTGTTGCACTGACAGCAAAGTTTCTTGGGATTTAACTTGCAGGCTAGCTATCTCCTGCTCATGGGATTGCCGGGCTTCTTGTAACTGAACGCGCAAGCCAGCTATCTCCTGATCTTGGCGTTCCTGCACGTCCAGGGACTTTTTGATGAAACCTAAGCTATCCTGGAGAGCCATGAAGAGACCCCAGGTACCGTATAAGTCCTTCTTGCTCTGTTTGGGACTGGACTTCTCACAGAAGTCCTGAAATGCATCTTTCAGGATCTGGAGTGGGTTCGGTCCCTTAAAGGACCCCGCCTCCCAGGGGCAGTCTCCTTTCTTCAGCAGCCACTTCTCCAGCGCTGGGAGAATCCGCACCTTTTTGAACATTTTGGCCTTTTTGGACACGTTCCTTCTTGACTCAAAAAGGGGAAACAGGTCCTGTCGAGCTCTCCTGCTCAAAAGTGAGAGTTTCCTTCCTCTGCAGCCCAGTCTCTGCCTAATTTTTAGGGTCAGGGCGGCCGATCCCTCCTAACCCCGGGGAGAATTGCTAACCCCTGGCAGGCGCCTCTGCCCGAAAAGCTCTACTTGTGTGGGAGCGACCCGTCTAAGAGTGAGCTAGAAAACCGTGAGAGCGGTCCCTGGCCTGTCCGCTCAAATCCTGCAAAGCACTACCCTGGCAGCTACTTTGAGGTTCTGGGAGAGAGCTTGGCTCGTCTCAAGACACACAAAGGGTGCTCAGATCCACCAGATTTACCCTAACCCTTTGCAACTAGGGGCCAGCGCCTCACCAACTTGTCAAGCTTGACTCCACCCTGAAGTGCTAACGTGTAATGTAATGTGGGATGTGTGGGGAAGGGAAAAGAAAGGGAAACTACAACTCTTCTCTGGGAGTTCCCGGGGTTCTAAATTGTAATGCCCACCCACGGATAGCACAACCACTGGCCCGGAAATGGCCGTAGGGCTTCACTCAATCTCCCCCTTGCTCTCTACCAGATGGCTCAGCCCCCGTATGGGTGGTATCTGGCCTGGTAGGTGAAAAGGGGAGCAGCCCCCCCCCCCGATAAATTGCTCACTAGAGCCACACACACAGATAGAAACCACTCACTCGCTCCTAAACTGAGTAATCTGGGAAAACGTTCTCGTACATCTGCCCAGCCAAAACACACACATATCGACTCACTTGTATTCAGATGTGCAGGGTTTGCCTGCATTCACTCCACCAGTAATTTGTTAGCCAAATTGCCTTATTTTATTATTAAGTTGGGGGAATTATGAATATTAAGTGGCAATAGGCATAAAATATAGGATCATAACCTTTGTGTATGAGAGTCAGAATTCCCAGCGCCCAGTGACTGGACGAGGAGGCCGGGTTGTTGAAAGAATTAGTCTTTTACTTAATAACTCTCAAGCATACAACAATAATCACACACACACAATACAGAGCTAGGAAATCAGGTTTGAAAGGACAGGGCCGTTTACGTGAGCAGGAATATCGTCGGCGGGTGATACTTTACCTGTCCGGCGAGATGAGATGATTCCGCGGCAAAAAAGGGATAAAATAAGGGGCCATGAGTAGCGATACACGCGGAGTGATTCCAAACTGCGCAAGAATGGACCCTAAGGTGGAGTGGGAGTCGGAAGCTCGAGCGCACAAGAGAGAGCGTAGGCAAGGAGCACTCCTTAAGTAGCCAAATTGTGACCCGAGGCAATGGCCAGGCAGTCACGGGTTCCCAGGAAGTTCTAGAAACAAGACAGTACTATGGATGGGTAGGACAAAAGAAATGACGGCTGGATAATTTAGGTTGGATGGTCGGCGGGTAGTGACACCTCTTGGGGACAGGTGTGAGACACAGGGGAATGGGGAAGAGGGTGCAGTTGCTCTAACGACTGGGTGCTTGTCGTCAGTGTCCTCCGGATCGATGGCAGGAAGGCTTACATGCTTCTTTTGTTTCTAGTTGGGCTACAGTCTTTGGGGATGACTCATGGGGGGGGAAGGAATGTGCTGCGTGCTGGAGAAGCGATCCCTTCATGGCTGCTGTGCAGGAAGACCTGTCTTCTTCCAGAACCTGGCTCCTGTCCGGTCCACTGCTGGCTCTGTGTTCATGAGGACCGGGGCTTCTGGTCTGCATCGTGGGGCTTGTGCAGATACAGGGTGCTGTACAGGCAGAGGTCTTCTGTAGTCTTGGGCCCATAGCTGGCTTGGTCTGCTTCTCCGGCTCAGGCTGCCCTGGCCACAGAGTGCAGTTCAGAGTCCAGTCTGGGGTACTCCACTTTGGGACCACGGCTGTGTCCATCGCTCTGGCATCCACTCCACTGGTGAGCAAGGCAGTGATACGAAAGAGTCTCTTTACTAATGCCATCTGAAGCGGCTTCTTGGCAACACGCTATAGCGCAGAGTCACGCAGTGGACCTGTGCCTATGCAAGAGGACATTTAAAAATAATATGTTCACTTTAGAAGGCGTCCTGCTAAATAGTGCTTCTGTCTGAAATGTCGATAAGTTAGAATTATGCATGAGCTTCTCTCCCTGACCTCTCGCTGGCCCTGCCTCTTGTGGTAGGATCATAGAATCACAGAGTCGGAAGGGGCCTACAGGCCATCTAGTAGTCCGACCCCTTGCTCTGTGCAGGATCAGCCAAGAGCATCCCTGACAAGTGTTTGTCCAGCCACTGCTTAAAGACTGCTAGTGAGGGGGAGCTCACTACCTCCCTAGGCAGCGGATTCTACTGTCACACGACTCTGACTGTAAAAAGGTTTTCCCTGATATTCAGCTGGTACCTTCCCACCCTCAATTTAAACCCATTCTTGCGAGTCCTCTCCTCTGCGGCCACCAGGAACAGCTCCCAGCCCTCCTCTAAGTGACAGCCCTTCAAATAAAAAACTTGGTTTATTATGAGGTGTAAGCTTTAAGTAATAGATAGTTGGCTTTAAAATATATATTTGCGTAATGTACCCCCAATTTTATGGTTAATTGTTATATGTTCGTGTTATGTCTGTGTTGTATAAAAAATAAAAAAATCTTATAAAAAAAGCACATTAGTAAAATAACATCTCTTATGTGACAATGTATGTTAAAATGTTAAAACATTAAAAGTATTTACAAATTCCATTACCTATCAGATAAAATCAATTTAACCAATTAATTATGATTCCCTCCACTCTCTCCTAATACAATAGGCTAACCAACCAGATTTATCCACCATACGAGTTATATTCTAATTTTTATCTGCCGACATAATTGAGAGGAGAGCCCCCCTACTACGCCCGGGATGTGATTGAATAATGGGATTTATAGATATTTCTCTATTGTGCCGGTATCATCTACAATTAAAAAAAAACATGTTCTAAAGTTTCTTCTCCCTTTCTACAAACACATTCCCTTCGCGTGTTTTTATTATATCTGGCTTCTAAAATGGCAGAGGGCGCAAAGCATTATATCTTAGGATTGTAAAAATTCTTCTGTGTTTGGCGTTCTCTAGCAGTTTAACACACGTTGCCAAAGTTAACTTGCTGCAAATAGCTAGATCAAATAAAGGATTCTTAATTTTACTCATTTGGACATGCAGTTCCACATCCAAAACCCTTTGCTTCAGATAAGAAGTATGCCTGTGCAGAAAAGCTGATACCCAGAATTAAGCTTTGTCCGTCTTAAAAGGTGCCCCTGGACTCAAACTTGGTTCTGCTGCTTCAGACCAACACGGCAACCCACGTGAATGGCTGTAAAGGGGTCGCTATAACAAATTGCTGGCAATCATTGCAGGCAGGATGCGGGTCTCTTAAGACAAGAAAGGAAAGGGGGGAAAATCATGAAATATGTTTTGCAGTCTGTTGTGAAGTTGCTGTATACCTTGCCGCTTCTCTATTTCCTTAATATGGTAAAATCGCAGCTTCGTTGAACCTGCTGAGGACCCCACCACATCCTTGGTCTCATACTATTCAGCTTTCCACCATGTTCTAAGCCACAGTCTAGGTGCGCACTGGTGATGTGGCGCTTCATGGCTGTATCACGGTGTCAGAGTAGACATGCGGGTCTGAGCACAAATGTGACTCGTGGGGAGGAACTAGAAGCAGGCCTTTTCCTGGTTGCCTAAAGAGCGTCCTGAGCAACAAATATTCATGCAAAGTTCTTTTAAGGAGGAAATGCAAGGCAAGCTTGCTTCAAGGAGAATGCGGTGTGCGTGCCCTGTGGTGTGTCGTTGATGGGAGTTGCAAAACTAAGACTATGCATCTTGAAAGGAGCCAATGCATGGCAAGATTCCGGGTGGACAAAAGGAAATACTTCTGTACACAAGGAGTGGTTCGAATGTGGAATTTGCTGCCAGAGGATGCAGTGATGGCCACAGGCGTAGATGGCTTTGAAAGGGGATTAGACAGATGCAGGGATGACTGGTCTATCAGTGGCTACTAACCATGATGCCTAAAAGGAACCTCCATGTTCTGAGGCAGTAAACCTCTGAAAGCTATTGCCAGGAGGCAACATCAGAGGAAAGGTCTCGGCCTTCATGCCCTGTTGTTGTCCCTACAGAGAACTGGTTGGCCACCATGTGAGACAGGATGCTGGACTAGATGGACCACTGGTCTGATTCAGCAGGGCTGTTGTTCTGTTAAGATAAAGGTCACTTAACGTGCTCTAAATTATCTTCCAGATTATAGTAGACGACGACGACAGTAAAGTGTGGTCCCTCTACGATGCGGGGCCTCGGAGTATCAGGTGCCCCCTTATATTGCTCCCACCAGTCAGTGGCACTGCGGACGTGTTCTTTCAGCAGATCTTAGCCCTGTCAGGATGGGGCTACAGAGTCATTGCTGTGAGTATTTTCCTGAAATCCGCTCAAATGGCAAGGACCCGCAACCAGTTTGCCATATGTATTGCTTTCTTGGCATGGAGTGATTCAAATGTTGGCTCGATGTATTTTTATGTACTCTTGTTTTGTGTGTCTCATTCATATTCCCAGCCCCTATGAGCTCCATAAGGAAGTAAAGTGGCTAATAAATGTTTTAAATAAAGACATTTTTGATGTATTGAGGAGGCCACCATGTGTCTCCCAGTTTTCATACAGGGATAAGACGTCCCCTCAGAATGTCAAAGCTCTTTTTCTATTACTCCGACTTGGGCACAGTTTGGAGTCATGGCCTTGTTGTTTGGAACCATGGCCTTGTTAGGAGTTCAGGGCTTGTGATATACACAGAATGGAAACCAGACCCTTGGGAGAGGGCAGTCCGGGAACTCGGAACGTAGCCGAGTTCTGCAGGTACTTGTTAGGAAATCATTCTGGAAACCATGAGTGGCTGTCAACAGGGTAACTCTTGAGTAAGGACAGCTGTAACCAGCCACCTAAGAGCCAGCTTGGTGCAGTGGTTAAGTATGTGGACTCTAATCTGGGAGAACCGGGTTTGATTCCCCACTCCTCCACTTGCACCTGGCTGGATGACCTTGGGCAAGCCTTAGTTCTGTCAGAGCTGTCCTTGAAAAAGAGCAGTTTCTGTCAGAGCTCTCTCAGCCCCACCTACCTCACAGGCAGTGCTCCCTCTAAGCTGTGGAGTCCTGTGAGCAAAACTTCTACTTTTGTCAGCTCCTGGCATTAAAGTTGTGAGTGAGCGATTTGGCTGCTGCATAAATCGGTTTGCTCTGGAGCCATCCTTCCTGAGCGAAGACAAAAGTGTGTGAGCTGGAGGCTAAAAAACGGTGAGCTGGCTCACACTAACTCAGCTTAGAGGGAACACTGCTCACAGGGTGTCTGTTGTGGGGAGGGGAAGGGAAAGGAGTTTGTAAGCCGCTCTGAGACTCCCAAATCCAATCTCTTCTTCCTCTCTTCTAATATTGAAGCTACCTTGAAATATTTTAGGGACGATTGGGCAAAAAATGAAATCCAGACACAACCAGAAGTTGCATCCATAAGAAATGAAGGGGTTTCAGTAGAATCAGTAGACAGAGATGGGTGTGCCCTTATATAGAATGCAAACGTGTACTTCAGGTTGCGTGCTGGTTCCTAAATTATTAGTGATGCAAATGCCGGAAGGGGCAGACACAAAATTAAAGGGGTGTGTGGGGGGGAATTATACTTGCCTCTCCCTTTCCATCTTGCTAACCTTCTCTTTTCTCATTAATTTTAGTTGCAGTATCCAGTTTACTGGGATATCTTTGAGTTCTGCGACGGATTCAGAAAACTCTTAGATCATCTGCAGCTGGATAAAGTTAGTGCCCTGGGGCTGACAAACAGCTTGTGCTTTCAACAGAAATGTTATGTAAAAAGGGTTGATTTTTTTCAGAATAACGTTCAGTGCTCCAGGACCGGGAAACCGCTCACGCCTGCCTGCTTATCTTTAATTTCGTCCCTGTTTTCAGGACCCCCTTTAAGTTCCTTCTTTAGGTTTCTGTTTCTAGCTAGAAATTGCTCAATCTTGTACTATAACGGGTCTGTAACCAAGCAGTCTTGAAGATGCGGAGTTATTGAACGATAGTTTGCGTATACAAGAGTAAATGGTCAAATGTCTCCGCTTTTATTGTTGTGGGGAAAATGTTTCAGTGCTAGTAATTTGTTACATGTTAAAAGAAAACGAGTGGTCAGAGAAGGAATCGGCCTGCCTAAAACTCCTCTTGATTTGTTTCTGCTCAAACACTGTGAGCCGGATGGCTAGCATTTCAGTCTTAAGTATGTTCCCGCTGAGCTGACTGTTGCTTAATCCCTCGTAAGCGTGTTTAGGATTTCAGCCAGAGATATGGCTTGGGAACGCCACATAGGTCATCTCCGCCATGAACTCAGCCTAATACTTCCACCCTACCCTGCAGGGCTGTTGTGAGACTTTATGAGTTAAATGTATGTGAAGCGCTTTGCACGCTCAAAAGGAATATATAAATGCTCAGTATCACTACTGTTTGGTGTAGTGGTTAAGTGCGTGGACTCTAATCTGGGAGAACCGGGTTTGATTCCCCACTCCTCTACATGCACCTGCTGGATGACCTTGGGCAAGCCATAGTTCTGTCAGAGCTGTTCTCTCAAGGACAGTTCTGGAAAGTTTGTAAGCCGCTCTGAGACTCCTTCCGGTAGTGAAGGGCTGGATATAAATCCAATTTCTTCTTCTCTTCTCTTCTTCTACTGTTAAATGTTGGCAGTATCCTGCTAAAGTCATCTTTGTGTTCTAAAACTAGGTTCACCTATTTGGTGCTTCTTTGGGAGGCTTCCTGGCCCAGAAGTTTGCAGAATACACTCATAAATCGCCCAGAGTCCAGTCTCTGATTCTATGCAACGCTTTCAGTGACACCTCGATCTTCAACCAGACATGGACGGCAAACAGGTGAAGTGCAGAAAACACACACACACAAATACGGGGGGGGGGGGGGGGGGGGGGGTTAAATAGCAAAATCAGATGCATGTCATTACAATCCATTGGTTGTTGACTGCCGGTGAACTTGGATTAGGAAAGCAAATGGGAATGTTGCCTTTGCCGTAGAAAAGTTACTTGGGGGGGTGGGGCAAGAACTGCTTCGCTATTTTGAATTAGCTTTTGGAACTGGAAATATTTTCCTGCAGTTTAATAAGGCTAAAATGTTTCAACGGTCACGTTAGCACAAACAGCGACTCGAGTTTAATGAGGCCGCAACGGTCTTTGCTCACCCAGCTTTCAGTGTGTGTGCCGTTTTAATGTTTTGCACATAATGTTTTATGTGGCAAGCCAATGCACGTTGTGAAGACGGGAGAAATGTTTCCCCTCCAAAGCACGTTACACTTCTCTTCTCCTCTTAGCTTTTGGCTGCTGCCCGCCTTTATGTTGAAGAAAATCGTTCTCGGGAACTTTGCTTCTGGCCCCATGGATCCAGAAATGGCCGACGGAATCGATTTCATGGTCGATAGGGTAAAAGACTCCCGGATATCAAATGAATGACTGATTTGTGTGTGTGTGTGTGTGTGTGTGTGTAGGCGTGATTGGTTCTAAAAGGCATTTAATGTATTGGATAAACAGGTTTGATTGCATGAATAATCTTCATCTGGCTAATTCTCTTATTTTGAATTGAATGAATCTGTCTCCCCCCCCCCCTTTCCCCCCATTTTCTGACAGTTGGAAAGCCTGGGTCAAAGCGAGCTCGCTTCAAGACTCACCCTCAATTGCCAGAATTCGTACGTGGAACCTCACAAAATCAGAGACATCCCCGTAACTATCATGGACGTACGTAATCTCTCCTTCGGCTGTTTGGTGGGGTCAGGGGAAGGCAATGGCCCATCCAGTCCAACACTCTGTGTCACACAGCGGCTAAAAACCCCCGGGGCCATCAGGAGGTCCAGCAGTGGGGCCAGGACACTAGAAGCCCCTCTCCACTGTTGCCCCCACCCCCAGCACCAAGAATGCAGAGCATCACTGCCCCAGACACAAGAACATAAGAGAAGCCCTGTTGGATCAGGCCAGTGGCCCATCCAGTCCAACACTCTGTGTCACACAGTGGCCAAAAGAACCCAGGGGCCATCAGGAGGTCCATCAGTGAGGCCAGAACTCCAGAAGCCCTCCCACTCATGCCCCACCCAAGCACCACGAAGACAGAGCATCCCTTGCCCCAGACTGAGAGTTCCTATCTATACCTTGTGGCTAATAGTCACTGGTGGACCTCTGCTCTGTATGTTTATCCATTTCCCTCTTGAAGCTGTCTGTAAGAGCACCGACAGAGTTTTAGGATAACCAGGAAGCCTCGAGGTCTCATCAAAGCACGGATAAAACCCGGAAAAACTATGCCAGTCTGATTAGTACCACTACATGACTTTCAGTCATTAAGATGCCGAATGTCTCAGCAATATTAAAGGCTGATCGGAGGGAATTCATTTCTGCCAGATATTTAATAATAAGCAGGCTGACTTTTATGAATGCAGCCTGCTGAGCTGAGGAGCATTGCTATCCGAGAATCTCTCTGCCTCCAGCCAGAGAGAGAGAGAGACTCCATCTGGGTTCTGTTGTAAAACCCCTCAAGCCAGTGCTGAGAAGGGCTTAGATCAGGCCAATATTAGCTCAATTATGGTCCACGGAGCACAGTTACACCCTTCCCGACTCTGCGTCCTGCAGCCACGGGATGCCAGCCCTGCTCTTCACAGGAGGCGTGTCCCGTCCAGGCCTTCAGGCCAGTCTCCAAGCTTGTTCCTCTCTGCTTGGAAAAACACACCCCCGGAACTGTGATCTGCGGAACGTGCCGAAGATCACGAGGACCTGACCGGTCCCTGCTTGCTTCCCAGGTCTTCGACCAGAGCGCTCTTTCGACCGAAGCCAAGGAAGAAATGTATAAGCTGTACCCCAATGCCAGGAGGGCCCACCTGAAGACGGGGGGCAACTTCCCCTATCTCTGCAGAAGTGCCGAGGTCAACCTCTACGTCCAGGTGAGTCTCCCCGGCTTCCGTTCAGCACTTGGCTGGGAGCCCGGAGCTTTACGCTGGGCTTTCAGAAAAAGGGGGCACTACAGACAAAAAAAACTAGTTTCTTGTCAGTGTGGTTGCCAGCAATGTTCCCTTTAAGCTGTAGAGTCTTGTGAGCAAGAATTCCACTTTGTGAGCTACTGGCATTAAGGTTGTGAGCGAGCAATTTGGTTACTGCATAAATTAGTTTGCACTGGAGCCCTCCTTCTTGAGCTAGGACAAAAATGTGTGAGCCGGAGGCTAAAAGAACTGTGAGCTAGCTCAGACTCACTCAGCTTAGAGGGAACACTGGTTGCCAGCCTCCAGGTGGAGCCTGGAGGGTTCCCTCTAAGCTGAGTCTGAGCTAGCTCACAGTTCTTTTAGCCTCCGTTTCACACCTTTTGGTCTCCGCTCAGGAAGGAGGGCTCCAGGGCAAACCAATCTATGCAGCAGCCAAATCGCTCGCTCACGACCTTCATGCCCATAGCTCACAAAGTAGAAGTTTTGCTCACGAGACTCCGCAGCTTAGAGGGAGCCTTGGTGGAGATGTCCTGCTTTGATCGTTGAGCTCCACACTTCAGAGATCAGTTGCCCTGGAGAAAATGGCTGCTTTGGAAGGTGAACTCCGTGGCATCGTGCCCTGCTGTGGTCCCCTCCCCTCCCCTCCCCAAACACCGCCTTCCCCAGGCTCCATCCCCCAAACCTCCAGGAATGTCCCAAACCGGAGCTGGCAGTCCTAATTACCAGCCGGGTACTGATCGAGTAACACCATTTTTTAAGAAGCCCCCCAAATTCTCACCTCTGACCCGCAGCTTGTGGACATGTCTCTCCCCCCCCCTCCCCTTCTCACGTTTCTCTTGCCCTTCCCCCATGGTATCCTCGCAACAACACTGTGATCTGGTGTCAGTCTCCGGAGGCTGCTGGGGGCCGGGTGGGCCGTGGGACAAGTCCAGGACGGCAGTCAGCCCGGGTGGACAGGGGTCGCCTCAGATACCGTCGGCAGAGTTACCGCACTCTGTGCCCGGGTTCCAGTGGATAAGGGCAGCTTCCCCGCGTCTCCCTCCTCTCCGTCACTCTTTCGAAAAGTCCACCAATCCCCCCCAGCTTCCAGTTTGGTGTCGTGGTGAAGTGCGCGGACTCTAATCTGGGAGAACCGGGTTTGATTCCCCACTCCTCCACTTGCACCTGGCTGGATGACCTTGGGCAAGCCGTAGCTCTGATAAGAGCTGTCCTTGAAAAAGAGCAGTTTTTGTCAAGAGCTCTCTCAGCCCTGCCTACCTCACAGGGTGTCTGTTGTGGGGAGGGGAAGGGAAAGGCGTTTGTAAGCCGCTCTGAGACACCCTTGGGTAGTGAAGGTATAAATCCAATCTCTTCTTCTTCTTCCACCTGCTTCTCTTTTATTTGTGCTGACTCCCCCACCTGGACGTCCCACCACCTATGCCTTAAAGGTACCTAACCAAAGGGCTGTGTTCCAATAGCTGGGGCCTGGTCTCGGGTGTTCCCCACTCCTCTCTCCAGCGGTCGGGACTCTGGCGCGACGCCCGGCCAGCAGGTTGACCCTTCCCTCCCCCTTTCCCCACTGGCCCGCCTTGGAAGGGCCGATGTGAGAGGACTGTGGGGCCTCCAGGGAACATTCGCCCAGCTTTGCCTGCTTCCTGATGTTGGAACATGGGGGTTCCTCCGGAGTACTTGGGAAGGGAGGGGCCTCGCCTTCCTGACAGCCGCGCTAGGCTGTGTGTGTGTGACTGGCCCTGGGTCATCCAGCGAGTTTCAACAGCACATGGGGATTCGAACCCAGGACTCCCAGCTCCTAGTCTGACACTCTAACCACTACACCACCCTGCCTCTGGTAGAAAACCCCTATTATACAAAAGGGAGTGGGAGGGTTTCTGTGCTGTAATGGATTAACTTTGGGTGGCAAGAAAGGGTTGTTTTTTAAAAAAAATAAAAATAATGGGAAGCGGACTTCTTCCCACACTCACGAAGGAACAGTAAATTCAGGTGGGGCAGCCGTGCTGGTCTGAAGCAGTAGAACAAAGTTTGAGTCCAGGGGCACAGTTGAGGCCAGCAAAGTTTTATTCAAGGTATAAGCTTTCTCGTGCACGCACACTTCATCAGAGGTAGTGAAGATATCCGGAGAAGTGTGCTTGCACGCAAAAGCTTATACCTTGAATAAAACTTTGAAGGAGTAGTAGCAAAGCGTAGTCTGTACAGCTGGCCGCATCTCCCCGTGTCCCTGGCTGTTGGGGACGAGGAGGCTACTTGGGTGCATTCCAATTTCTGGACGGTGTGGCTCCTCTACGTGATTGGGAAAGGGTCTGGGAGAGGGACCTGCCTGTGTCTGGGATGGAACAAGCGCTTCCTGTGGTAAGCCCTGGGTCAGGGCTACATCTGCATTTTAGATGTAACCACAATAGCCTGATCACCTATATGTTGGAAGATTCTCAGTCCTCTGCGTGGCTTATGGCTATTGAAAAGAAAATCACTTCTATTGGTTTTAACCTGAGTGACTTTGTCACCCGGTCAGAGTTTGAGGTCTTCACTTTGCTTAAGCAGAGGGTTATTGATATAGAGTTGCAAGAGCTCAGAGCCCTCGCCTCCGGAAGGTGCTCCTCAGTAAGATGGGCCTATCCCCTTTCTGGTGTTTTACCATATTACTTTTTCTGCCTGACTTCACCGCAGATGTGTAGAGCTTATCTGTTGGCCCGTTTTAGCGTTCTCCCCTCTGCTATTCTTGAGGGGAGATATAAGAAAATTCCTTATTCAGTCAGGTTTTGTGGATGTAATAGAAGAGAAACAGAAACGGTGGAGCACGTACTCTTACACTGTAAATTGTTAAATGACATTCGAGGGGAATGTATAGAAGCCCCCCTTAGGTTGGTAGTAGGCCAACCGGATAAAAATAAGGTGCATTATCTCCTTGCTTCACGAGACCCGGAGATCATTGAACTGACCGCTAAGTTTCTTCATGGTTTTTATAAAACGGATTATGAGCATATTAATGATTCTTAATTTATAATTTTTTTAAAAACTTAAGTTTAAAAGTTTAGATTTCAATTTATTGTACGACTCAGCTATCTTCTGTATGGTCAAGTCTATCTTGTGACAACTTGAGGTATGGTATAGGCCTGATATATCCTTGGAATGGTTTACCACGATTATCTATTTTATAATCTCTACTGGATTGTATTAATACTGGGAAATGTTTATTTTAATATTGTATGCCAATAAAAGGTATTTGAGTGAGAACCCACCCTCAGGCCTGCAGAGGTGACTTTGAGCCAAGAGCTGTGGCTCACAGGCCCAACGCGGTGAATCCTTTGATAGGACGCCATGGCTTGTAGGAAGGGGGTTGGGGGTGCGAGACACCGTTTTTACTCGTTCTGCTCTCTCCTAGATACACTTGCTTCAGTTCCACGGTACCAGATACGCCGCCATCGACCCCTCCATGGTCAGCGCAGAAGAACTCGCGGTCCAGAAAGCCAACCTCCAAGCCAGCAGTGACCAAGAGCAGGCCCCGTAGCTCTCGCACTCGTGGCCTTGCTTCAGTCCAGAGCGTCTTTTTTTTGCAGTCTTCCCCGGCAGTGGCATCTTTGCAGTCCGCCTTTTCCCTTACTACTTTAACCGATGGGTCAGACCTTGTTTCCTTAAGCCGATTTCATGAAATGAAATAAAGGTACCAACACTTGCTCACGTCACTGTTCTAGCGGGCTATCCTCGTTTAAATTTGGATGGTTAAGGATGTAACTTTGGAAGACTTGTTTAAAACAAAACAAAAAATCAGAGACAAACTTTTGCTACCAAAGCCTTCACAACTGTGTTCTTAAAGAGACTATTTTTTTTAAAATACGCATACAGTTTGTGTGTCCCTGTGTGTATATGTTTGTGTTTGTATGTATATATCACGAGCAAATTTGTCCAGAGGGCCATTTAATCATTTGATTGAATATTTACTTTAAGGAAAAAAAACCTATGTTGATGTGCCAATGTTGCCTTCTCTTTTTCTTTTATATCCTTTTTTGCCAACCGGTGACTTCGTTTGTGACTGAAACATTCATTTTTTTGTAAAACTGCCTTGCTATCAGAATAAACCTTTCGAATAAAATTTCAGTTAAAGGCTTTGGGGTTTTTTTTTAACTTACCTGCAAGAATTAGCATGGAAACACACAAGTCCAACACCAAGTCTGAAGGCAAAGCTTTTTTTCAGTTCAGCACCAAAGGTCTCAACCGCTGTTAGGCTCAGAAGCACAAAGACTGGGGTTTTTTTAAATTTATTTTTTAAAAAGAGATTGGTTCAAGGGGAAAACTGGTTTATTTGAAAACAGATTCTCTTAAAAATACAAAACTTCATGACAGATTTAAGAAAAGAGTACTTTTGTATCAAACAAACCGGTGTCTCTCCGATCTGTTATTGAGACTGAAATTTACCCCTTGACCTTAAAGTCAAGACTGCCCGGTCTTGTAATAGCATCCCTTTAAGAATATCTGCACTTGACATTATTTTCCCACCCCCTCGAGTGAACCTGTAGCTCAGGGGTCCCCAACATGGTGCTCACCAACTGTTTTTAGAATGTGGGTGGGGGATCAAGTATTTATTTACTTATTGTTTCAACTTTTACCCCGCCCTCCCCGCCGAAGCAGGCTTCTGATTGGCTGGGCAGATCAGAATGCCGTTTTAGCAGTAGCTGCCACCGCAACATTTGTTTTATTCTCCTTTCCTAATGTATTTTTTCAAATTGTCCGTCTTCACTTCAGCGTCTTTGTGTGGGCAGCTGTGCCCCTGTGCGGCAGCCATTTTGTGGTTGCGCCCACCACCCTGTGTCAGAATTCCCAAGGTGGCCACAGGCTCGAAATGGTTAGGGACCCCTGCTGTAGCTCTTCACGTGCTAAGGTGGAGAGATCTCCATGTGCATAGTTAGGTGCATGAATTAACATGAGTTACAAAAGTATCAGCTGTAGTTTGTAAGACCGTTTGGTTCCCCCCCCGAACTTGGAGCGCTGTTCTTAATCTTCCTATGGGTTGAGGTAGCTGCCCCTCTAGGAACGTGGTACAACCAAGTCCAAAGTAGCCCAACGGTTCAGGCATCTATAATCTTAAACCAAGTCATGCCATGTGTTTTTTAAAAAAGTGTAAACATGTCTGTTCCTGCAACATTCAAAGGGCATTTGTGCCTGCTTATTTTTCAGTCACAGCTATTACTGTGTTATTCCAGACAGGGACGCCCTTCAGGAGTTACAGGAACCTGAAGAGAAACTGCAGACCTTGCCGTTTTAACATTTGCCAGAAATCCAGCTCAAGGGAAATTGTCAACGGCAGTCCAAAGTAAAACACTTGAACAGAACACCCTGCAGAATGTACCTGGGCATAGGGGGTTGGATGCAGACGGATGCATCTTCCTCTAGTTTTCAGCTATTAAAAAAAGGTGCCCCAAAACATATAGCTACAGAAATGTGCTATAAAGTTTACACTTAAGATAAGCATGGATCACCGGGACCTGAACAGAATGTGACATTCCATTTTTTTAAAAAAATCTCAAATGCATTTTTACCTTGTGAACCGTGAGATGCAACCGAAATTACTTTCAGCAGAAAAATTAATCAAGCTTTCTCCGCAGTTGTATCTATGCTACCAGAGCGGCAATGCATTTTAAAACTGGGCGCTGCAGAAGAACTAAAAGGATTCCTCGACTCATTTTTTCCTGATTTAAAAAGATGCCATGAGCATACCCTTTCAGTGTATCCCTACTCACATTTTCTTAGATATATAAATCCTACAGATTTCAATGGGATTTGTTTGTAAATAAGCCGATGTGTACAACCTTATCCATCATCTTGCTGGTCTGAGATTATTTCCCCTTGCAGTGTCCGTATCTGAGGAAGCAGCTGAATATACACCCTTCTTGGTAAGGATGGTATTTTTTTGACAAGAACCTGCTGATGTAGATCTTATCGATACCTGATCTGGAATGGAAAACGCTGCCATCTGATATGGCGTGGAGCCCTTACGAGACGTGATAAGAGATGCCTTTCGGCCAGTATACAACAGTGTTTCCTCGATGCAATTTCTGGCTTCTGAAGACTCTTCCGTTCCACAGGTCACATTGCCGTACACATCTTTGGAGAAGCGACATCGGCGTTGGCTTGTTTCCTGATGCTCTCTGTTTTTTTAAAAACAAAACCACGGGCATCATGTCATCCAGACTTCCTGATCTGCTCATAAGCCCAGCGTCAATCTTTCTAAGCAATCAAGTTTAAACCGCCAGCCTTCCCATATGGATCTACAGTTGACTAATTATCTGTTTCGTCAGCTGTATCGATGCAGTGACGGTTCTCCATTTGCTGCCACAGATATAAGGGGCATTTGCTATAGGGTTGCCATCCCCCTGATGGAGGCATAAAGGTTCCCTTGCTCGAAAGCCAGTCGAGTCCGACTCTAGGGTTGCGGTGCTCATCTCCGTTTCCAAGCCGAAGAGCCAGCGCTGTCCGAAGACGTTTCCGTGATCGTGTGGCCGGCATGACGAAACACCAAAGTCCCACGGAACGCTGTTCCCTTCCCACCGAAGTGGTACCTATTTATCTACTTGCAGTTTCTTGCTTTCGAACTGCTAGGTTGGCAGGAGCTGGAACTAGAGACAGGAGCTCACTCCGTCATGCGGCACACTCGGGTCTCGAACTGCTGAACTACTGACCTTCGACAGCCTGCAGTTCAGCGTCTTAACCACTTGAGCCACCGCAGCTCAAGATGGAGGCACAGTTTCCCCCAATTTTGGGGGCCCCAATCTGCCGCTGGCCAGCAGGGGAAGCCCCACCCACAAAGAGCCCCGGTGTGCCCAGCGTGATGATGTCCCCCGGAAGTGACATCATTTTGCCAGGCTCATCACACAGTGGACGCTCTCGCATTTAGCTAGAAACTCCGTGGTGACCGTAGAGTTTTGGGGCAAATCCTAGAGCATCCCCCACATGACGTGCCCGCTGCAATGACATCACTTCTGGCGCATGCCAGAAGATCCAGGAGAGCAGCCTGGAGCCCCCCCGCCGGGAGACGGTGACAACCTGGCAACCCTAATTCGCTACCATCTGCTGGTTTCTTTTTTAAAAAGAAGAGAGAGACGAGATTGGATTTATAGCCTACCCTTCACTACCCAGAGGAGTCTCGAGCGGCTTACAAACTCCTTTCCTTTCCCCTCCCCACAACAGACACCCTGAGAGGGAGGTGGGGCTGAGAGAGCTCGGACAGAAACTGCTCCTTTTCAAGAACAGCTCTTATCAGAACTATGGCTTGCCCAAGGTCTTCCAGCAGCTGCAAGTGGAGGAGTGGGGAATCAGACCCCAGGTTCTCCCAGATTAGAGTCCGCGCATACTTAACCACTACTCCAAATCGGCTCTGCAACCCCTTTAGTTGCAGATGTAGCTCCAGACCGAAAAAGGCTAGAGCAGTGGTGGCGAACCTATGGCACAGGTGCCAGAGGTGGCACTCAGAGCCCTCTCTGTGGGCACGCGTGTCATCGCCCCAGCCAGGCCCAGACCATCATTAAAGTGTTGAATTCTCTGCCAAATAATTTTAAGTAAATGAAAGCATTTGGGATTGCTTTCCTTACTTAGTTTGGATCATCTTAAGTTAATGTACGAGTTGTTTTTTCTAAAGTAAAACCTCAATATTCAGGTTAAATTGCCGTGTTGGCACTTTGCGATAAATAAGTGGGTTTTGGGTCGCAGTTTGGGCACTCGGGCTCTAAAAGGATCGCCATCACTGGGCTAGAGATTTTTTTTAAAATGAAAGCTGGGGATTCAGAGCACAGTGACGGATTGCTCTAAATCAGTTGTGCAATTGCCAGTGTTTTTATAACTGCCCTCTGGTGGCACAATAGGGAAAACAGCAGGCACAAGGGCCTGATGGAAGGAAAATGGTACTGATTTGGGTGGGAGCTATGAAGATATGCCCCTTCTTGCCCATTTGGTTTGCCAGTTTGGTGTGCGGACTCTAATCTGGGAGAACTGGGTTTGATTCCCCACTCCTCCACTTGCACCTGGCTGGATGACCTTGGGCAAGCCATAGTTCTGATAAGAGCTGTTCTTGAAAAAAGCCGTTTCTGTCAAGAGCTCTCTCAGCCCCACCTGCCTCACAGGGTGTCTGTTGTGGGGAGGGGAAGGGAAAGGAGTTTGTAAGCCGCTCTGAGACTCCTTTGGGTAGTGAAGGGCGAGGTATAGATCCAATCTCTTCTTCTTCTAATGCACTTGCAGGTGCGAGCCCCCAGGATGGCTTGGTTAGCTTTCACCAGGGGAAGGGCCTGCTCGGTTGTGGCCCCTACCCTGTGGAAGGCACTCTCGGGTGATGCCCGTGTCCTGCCGGACTTGCTTAGTTTCCGCAGGGCATGCAAAGCTGAATCGTTCAGGCTGGACTTTGGAAGGTGACCGCATGTTTGGGCTGTTTTAATAGTGGTATGGTGATAGCCACGTATTTTAACATTTTAATGTTAAGATTTTATATCCTATTTGCTTTTGTGTTGATTTTTCCTTATTGGTTTTCATGTTGCAGGTCGCCACACAAGACCCTTCGGGTGAGTGGCAACTAAAATAATCTAATAAATACGTAAATGAAATGGGATGCCATGGGGCAGTGTTCCCTCTAAGCTGAGTTAGTGTGAGCTACCTCACAGTTTTTTAGCCTCCGGCTCAGACATTTTTGTCTTAGCTCAGGAAGGAGGGCTCCAGAGCAAACTAATTTATGCAGCAGGCAAATTGCCCACTCACAACTTTAGCGCCAGTAGCTCACTAAGTAGAATTTTTGCTCACAAGACTCCACAGCTTAGAGGAAACATTGCCAGTGGGTGTGGGCGGGATCGTTCAAGGGGGCTTAACCAAAGCAAGGTGGCGCCTTACCTGCCAAATCTCGCCTCCCAATTCCTACGAGGCCTTCGTAGAGTCCTTTGGTTGGGTTGTCACCGGCCATGATCACTCCGTGAAGCCATATCAGCAGCATCCTATGGCCGTGTTCCCTGTAACTTTTGGTTCCTGGGGACACGAACCAAAACCCCTTATAAATGTTACATCTGGTATTAGGTCAGACGAATCAGAATGTAGGATCCAGTGTTCCCTCTAAGCTGAGTTAGTGTGAGCTAGCTCACAGTTTTTTAGCCTCCAGCTCACACATTTTTGCCTTAGTTCAGGAAGGATGGCTTCAGAGGAAACTAATTTATACAGAAGCCAAATCGCTTTGGCTTTAATGCCAAACTTTAATGCCAGTCGCTCACAAAGTAGAATTTTTGCTCCCGAGACTCCACAGCTTAGAGGGAGCATTGGTAGAATCCCATTCGAATGTTACTCTTTCATGTATCCTGGTTGCAGAGAGACACCAGGCCCCTCGGATGTAAAGGACCGAGTGAATTCTTCCCCTCTCTGCTCTGGAGGCAAACCAGGTGCCGAGGAATCGCTCGGACCTCGCGAGAAGGCACTCCGCACAGGCCAGCTTACCTGCCCACTGGTGTTCAATGGCTCGGATGTGGGCCTCGGTGAACTTCCAATAATGCGCCAACTTCTTCCACTCGCCGGGACGGAGGTATTTGGTCGCGAGCCTCCACAGGACTGAGCGGATGTGTTGCGTCTCCAAGCGGTGGTCCTGCTTGAAGGTTAAGTGCTTGGCTACCCAGGAGTCCGAGTCGCTGTTCAGGTTATCCTGCAAACATTTCAAGATGTGTTTCTTTTTTTTTCCCCTTCCCAAAGTCGTTTTTTTTTTACTGTTTGCAAACCGCTTTCCTACTACTGGTAAAAGCTCAATCTCTGTTCCCACTTAGAAGAAGAAGAAGAGGAGATTGGATTTATACCCCGCCCTTCACTACGCAGAGAAGTTTCAGAGTGGCTTACAAACTCCTTTCCCTTTCCCTCCCCACAACAGGCACACTGTGAGGTGGGTGGGGCTGAGAGAACTCTGACAGAAACTGCTCTTTTTTCAAGGACAGCTCTGACCGAACTATGGCTTGCCCAAGGTCATCCAGTAGGTGCAAGTGGAGGAGTGGGGAATCAAACCCGGTTCTCCCAGATTAGAGTCCACGCACTTAACCACGACACCAAACTGGCTCTTATGATTTTCCGTTTTGGGGGGGCTGCCACACAACCGATCTGGAGGTCACGCGACTGTGTGGTGTAATGGTCAGAGTGTCAAGCTAGGATCTAGGAGGCCTAATTTTGAACCCCTGCCGTAGAGGACTGCTTAACCTTCAAGCAGGACCACCGCTTGGAGACTTTGGGCCTCTCACTCTTCCGCAGGCCTACCTACTGTTAGATCCCCAAGCATTCAAAATAAATCCACGTTTAAAAGTAAAGCAAAATTTATTTCAAAGCGATGGTTCGATCAGGAACAAGGACATTGTTAGGAATAACTGCAATCACACTGGGACTACATAATAAAGGAACTTGAACCAGGTAAGGGCCAATTAGCCCCTTTCCCTCTGGCGGGAATAGAACAGCGAACGCGCGCCCAATTCCTTGGGAACATAACAGTCCTACATTATACACAAGTTCAGTTCTCAGGCAAGCTAACCATAACAGCGAAGCAATACCACGACTCCCACCTCCAGCTGCTCGACTTTGGCCAGTTTCTGCAAAGCTACACATGCAATACAATGAAGCAAGAGGACACACAGGGGGGGGGATGGGTGTTACAGCTTGCACAGGGAATACCATGTACACTAGACATAATGGCAGCTAGCTGACACCTACCTCACCTGGAAACATGAAGCTGCCTTCTACTGAATCAGACCCTTGGTCCATCAACATCAGACTGACAGCCGCTCTCCAGGGTCTCGGGCCGAGGTCTTTCCCATCACCTGCTGCCCGGCCCTTTCAACTGGAGATGCTGGGGATCGAACCTGGCACCTTCTGCATGCCGAGCAGATGCTCTGCCACTGAGCCACAGCCCCTCTTTACAGCTCTCCAGGGCCTCAGGCAGAGGTCTTTCACATCACCTACTGCCTGGTCCTTTCAACTGGAGATGCCGGGGATCGAACCTGGCACCTTCTGCATGCCGAGCAGATGCTCTACCACTGAGCCACATCCCCTCTTTACAGCTCTCCAGGGCCTCAGGCAGAGGTCTTTCACATCACCTACTGCCTGGTCCTTTCAACTGGAGATGCCGGGGATCAAACCTGGGACCTTCTGCATGCCGAGCAGACGTTCTACCACTGAGCTGCAGCCCCTCCTGTTCTCCAGCCTCCAAATCTTCGGTTTGCCAAAGACTCTAGTATCCCTGGCTTCTGTGTGAGGTCAATCCAAACTTCCCATCTTTTTTGGCCCTCACTTCCTGTCTCCTCCACCTCACTCACCACAGGCTCTCTAGCATCGCTGCTGCTGTTCCACCTTCTTGTCAAAGTTACCCTTTCTCCTTGGCCCTTCCTTCTCCCAATCTTGTTTCCCACAGTCCTTTGCTACACTGAACTCTCGCCCGTACGTCTTTCTCCAGCTTCATTCTGCTCGGAGCAGTTTGGTGTAGTGGTTAAGTGCGCGGACTCTAATCTGGGAGAACTGGGTTTGATTCCCCACGCCTCCACTCGCAGCTGCTGGAAGACCTTGGGCAAGCCATAGTTCTGTCAGAGCTGTTCTTGAAAGAGCAGTTCTCGAAAGAGCTCCCCCAGCCCCACCTACCTCACAGGCAGTGTTCCCTCTAAGCTGAGTTAGTGTGAGCTAGCTCACAGTTTTTTAGCCTCTCGCTCAAGCATTTTTTTCGTAGCTCAGGAAGAATGGCTCCAGAGCAAACTAATTTATGCAGTACCCAAATCGCTCGCTCACAACTTTAATGCCAGGAGCTCACAAAGTAGATTTTTTGCTCACAAGACTCCACAGCTTAGAGGGAGCATTGCTCACCGGGTGTCTGTTGTGGGGAGGGGAAGGCAAAGGAGTTTGTAAGCCGCTCTGAGACTCCGAGTGAAGGGCGGGGTATACATCCAATCTCTTCTTCTCCTATCTCACATGGCCAGACTGACCTTTCTCTTTCTTCATGGATATGAGCGCAGTTTATTTACATTCCATAGCCAATCATTTTCCCCCTTCAGGCAGCTTTGTGGATATTCTAAGAAGTTTTCAGCCCTTGCTCAATGGACACCTATACGGCTGTTGTATATACCTTAACTTCCTATAAGGAATATTCTGAAAGAGACTGAACGCTTCGGAATATCACCCACCTTCTCCCATTTATAAAACCTGTCTGCTTTGATGATCATATCGGCCAGGTTGATGTGGTTGCCACGCGCAGCGATATCCAGGGATGTCTTCCCTTGCTAGAACCAGAAGCAGAGGGAAATCAACGCCACAATCACACAAGCCCTTCAAGAACACTTGGAAGCTCCAATTTGTTAGTACTGAAAGTCAGGCAAAACATGCAATGCCGCACCTGTTCTGAAGACTCTCCACTGCTCACTGATCAGTTATCAAATTCAAGGTTCTGGTTAGCAGTTTCGTGTGAAACCACCCCTCCTGCTACATCCTGCTGCAACATCTTCGCTCACCAGAGCGGGGCCTTCTAAAGGTGGCCCCGTACAAATGGCAAAGCTGTCTGTTCATGGGCATTTTCAGTGGTTGCCCCCACCCTGTGGAACGGCCTGCCTGGAGGAGGTCAGGAAGGTTCCCACACTTCTGTCACTCCACAGAACATGCGAAAGAGAAATGTCCAGGAAGGCATTTTTATAAAGGGATCAAGATGGTAGGAGAATGGAAGAAGAAGAAGAGATTGGATTTATACCCTGCCCTTCACTTGGAGTCTCAGAGCGGCTTGCAAACTCCTTTCCCTTCCCCTCCCCACAAGAAACACCCTGTGAGGCAGGGGGGGCTGAGAGAGCTCTGACAGAAACTACTCTTTTTCAAGGACAGCTCTTATCAGAACTATGGCTTGCCCAAGGTCATCCAGCAGGTGCAAGTGGAGGAGTGGGGAATCAAACCCGGTTCTCCCAGATTAGAGTCCGCGCACTTAACCACTACACCAAACTGGAAGAGCCTTTGTAAAGAACAGAGTTGTGGTCTTCTGCAATGATTATTCTAGCTATTACCCTGCTTTCACTGCATTCTCTTCTACCTTTGTTATTCCAGCCACCTAGGCAATTTCTTGTTCACACTGTCTCCTGATTCTGTCATCCTAGTCTAGCTGCACTGTTCCTCAGATCTCCTGCCAATCTGGTGTAGTGGTTAGGAGTGTGGACTCTAATCTGGGAGAACCGGGCTTGATTCCCTGCTCCTCCACATGCAGCTGCTGGGTGACCTAGGATCAGTCACAAGTTCTCTCCGGAGTAGTCTTCAAAAGAGCTCTCTCGGCCCCACCTACCTCACAGGGTGTCTGTCATGGGGAGAGGAAGGGGGCTGTAAGCCGCTCTGAAACGCCGAGTGAAGGGCGGGGTATAAATCCAATCTCTTCTTCTTCTGTTGCTATACGAACAGCTAGATTGGAGTCCAGGAGCAACTTAAGGACCGACAAGATTTTGGGAGGAATAAGCTTTCAAGAATCAAAGCCCCCTTCGTCAGGTATCATCAGACAGTGAAAGTTCCCTTTCGTAGGTATCTTGACAAAGACCGCTTTGACGCATAAAAGCTCATACCCTCAAAGTCTGGCTGGTCTCTAAGTGGCTCCTAGACTCCAACCTAACTATTAGAATTCTACATAACCTTGCTCCATAAGAAGCTTTGGTGTAGTAGTGAAGTGTGCGGACTCTAATCTGGGAGAACCGGGTTTGATTCCCCACTCCTCCACTTGCACCTGATGGATGACCTTGGGCAAGCCGTAGTTCTGTCAGAGCTGCTCTCTCAAGAGCAGTCCTCGAAAGAGCTCTCTGAGCCCCGCCTACCTCACAGGGCGTCTGTTGTGGGGAGGGGAAGGGAAAGGAGTTTGTAAGCCGCTCTGAGACACCTTTGGGTAGTGAAGGGCAGGGTATACATCCAACCTCCTCCTCCTCATCCACCTCCCGTGGCAAAAGAAGAAGAGATTGGATTGATACCCCGCCCTTCACTCAGCTTACAATCCCCTTTCCCTTCCCCTCCCCACAACAGACACCCTGTGAGGTCGGCGGGGCTGAGAGAGCTCTCTTGAGAACTGCCCTTGAGAGAACAGCTGTGCCAGAACTATGGCTTGCCCAAGGTCACACCAGCAGCTGCAAGTGGAGGAGCGGGGAATCAAACCCGGTTCTCCCAGATTAGAGTCCGAACACTTAACCTGTACACCAAACTGGCAGCCGTTTTGTCATGGCTCCCACAATCCCGTGCTAGACTCCCAGAAGGCCCTGCAGGCTCAACAAGGGCAACCCCCCCTGCGCTACTGCCTCAAACACAATTCTTTCGGCTGGCGCCTCCTCGTATATTCAGTGGCCGTTGGTGCCGAGACCCATCGAGCGTCCGCCAAGTTCCTACACAACAGCTTCCCCCTGCGTGTCTGACACACCCAAAAGTTTGCATTCAAAGTCTTTCCAGTAAACAGCCGGCATGGAGATGGGGATGTCGAAGCAGGTGATTTCCCGCACGCACACACGCACACAGAACTCTTGTTACGAGGATTTTCTGCGACCGGACTAATTTACCTTATCTGTTCGCTTTAAGTTCACCCCGGCGATAAGGATCATTTCGGTGATGTCCTGCCTTCCGTGTTCTGCTGCAATATGAAGAGGACTTTGCTGCCTCTGGGTACGAACGGAAAGCAAGATTTGTTATCATACGTAAGGGGTGAGCTTAAGACAGAGTACAGGTATGTCTTTAATTAAAGTGGTGGCTGTTGTTCTTTAAAAAGGAAAGAGACTGAGTTTCTAGACACTCTCAGTGACTGTGCTATGGAGCAGATGGTCACAGAACCTACCACGGGGGAAGCGATCCTGGACTTGGTCCTAAATAATGCCGAAGACCTGGTGAGAGATGTAGAAGTGATTGCACCGCTTGGGAACAGTGACCATAATTTTATTGACTTCAACGTTTATATAAATAGGGAGTTGCTCAAAAAGACCGACACAACCACTTTTAACTTGAAAAGGGGTAACTTCTCTGAAATAAGGAGACATGTGAGGAGGAAACTGAAAGGAAAAGTAGAAAGGGTCAAAACCATTGGGGAAAGTTGGAGACTATTTAAAACTACAATCCTAGAAGCTCAGAAAAAAATACATATCGCCAGGGGTCATTTCCTGCAGGAGCGCACAGGAGCGGAGCTCCGGCAGTAAGGAGCCCAGGGGGTGGGCAGATGCAACAAGCCCCACCCCCTGCTCCCAGCAGCCCTCAGTCGGGCCACAAGGATCAAGAAGCAGCCAGGTAAGCTCCAGAGCCCCCCCCATAGCTAGCAATCCCAAACAGTCCAGTGGTACCTTTCAGAGCAAGTTTTATTCAGGTACAAGCTCTCCCTCCTCTGCGAGGACAGATCTGCACGTCCCCCCCCGCCAATAGCTAGCGACACAACAACCCTGAGCGGTAGGTGTTGCCTTCTGCCACACTTCCGGTGATGTCAGGGGGTGCGGCACATGCAAATAAGTTATGCTAATGAGTTATGCTAATGAGCTCCTGCACCTCTTTTTCTACGAAATGGCCCCTGTATACTGCAGGTTAGGAAAGGCACAAATAGGTAAAGAAAAAGGCTTGCATGGTTAACAAACAAAGTAATTGAAGCTGTAAAAGGTAAGAAGGATTCCTTTAAGCCGTGGAAAGCTAGTCTCAGGGTGATAAAAGGGAACACAGGCTGTGGCAAATAAAATGGAAATCTGTGATCAGGCAGGCAAAAAGGGAGTATGAGGAGCATGTTGCAAAAAACATAAAGACCAACAATAAAACTTTCTTCAAATACATTAGAAGCAGGGAAGCAGCCAGTTCTTAAGCTAACAAGTAGACGTGTCCTGAGCGGGATGGTCCACGCTAGCCACAACTCATCAGGTCTTGTAAGCTAAGCAGGGTCGACCCTGACTAGTATTTGGATGGGAGACCTCCAAGGAATATCAGGGTCAAGTCAATCAGCTAATTTGAGAATGCGTGGAGAGACCTTTAATAATGACCACGGACAAACGACATAGATTAGATAAAGCTGTAGGAGGAGTTACAAAGAACATAAGAGATGCCAAGGTTGGATCAGGCCAGTGGCCCATCCAGTCCAACACTCTGTGTCACACAGTGGCCAAAAATACCAGGTGCCATCAGGAGGTCCAGCAGTGGGGCCAGGACACTAGGAGCCCTCCCACTGTTGCCCCCCCAAGCACCAAGACGACAGGGCATCACTTGCCCCAGAGCCCCTATCTATACCTTGTGGCTAATAGCCACTGATGGACCTCTGCTTCATATGCTTATCCAATTCTCTCTTGAAGCTGTCCATGCTTGTAGCTGCCGCCACCTCCTGTGGCCATGAATTCCATGTTCTTCACTCTTTGGGTGAAGAAAGACTTGCTGGGTGACCTTGGCTAGCTGCATTTTCTCTCTCTCTCTCTCTCTGCCTAACCTACCTCACAAGGTTGTTGTGAGGGAAAATTAAGGAGAAGAACAAGAAGAAGGGATTGGATTTATACCCCGCCCTTCACGACCCCACCCTTCACTACCCGAAAGAGTCTCAGAGCAGCTTACAATCCCTTTCCCTTCCCCTCCCCACAACAAACATCCTGTGAGGTAGGTGGGGCTGAGAGAGCTTTTTTGAGAACTGCTCCTGAGAGAACAGCTCTGAGAGAACTTGTGACTGACCCAAGGTCACACCAGCAGCTGCATGTGGAGGAGTGGGGTGGGGAATCAAACCCGGTTCGTCCAGATTAGAGTTTCCACTCCTAACCACGACACCAAACAATGTTGTAAAGCACTTTGGGTCCCCACTGGGGAGAAAAGAGGGGTATAAGCAGTGTTCCCTCTAAGCTGAGTTAGTGCGAGCTAGCTCACAGTTTTTTAGCCTCCAGCTCACACATTTTTGTCTTAGCTCAGGAAGGAAGGCTCCAGAGCAGACTAATTTATGCAGTAGCCAAATCGCTCACTCACAACTTTAATGCCAGTAGCTCACAAAGTAGAATTTTTGCTCACAAGACTCTACAACTTAGAGGGAACATTGGACCGTACAGGTAAACGAGTAAGTTAATTAAAGGTCTTACATAATCAGGGATGTCCAGGTCACATTCAGCATCGATGAGAAGTTTTACTATGGCTGGGTGGTTGTGTAGCACCGCGGTGTGCATAGCTGATGCATTTTGCTGCAGAGGAAAGCGACAGGAATACCGGTGTTGAACGCTGAGGGGAAAGTCCTGCTTCACACATGACATCCTGCAGAGCAGGGGGGGAAATCGCTCTGTACATGCACAGAAGCATTCTTCTTTGCTTCCCGTGTTGCCGAGTGATAGTTTGGCACTGGAAACTGGTTGCAGGGCTCTGAGCTCTGGCAGCAGGAACCGCTAACATATGGGGCTGGATCCGGCAAATCCATCCTGCCAATTCCTCGGGGACAAAGAACCTTCATCTTATGTGACTGGCTTGTTCACCAGAGGAACGTTCAGCGCCAGAGGAAAGCACTGCTGTTGCAAAACACGCTTGTGCGATCCTGCCCGTTCTTTCATTGCACTGAGTTCGACCGTATCTTACAGGAGAGCACTCTCCTAAAGTGAACAGGATTCTACCTTTGAGATCCGCAAAAATTCTAGCTTCTATTCTCGTGTCATCTGTTGCATTACCATGTCCACTTCACTGCCCTGTTTCCTAGTCTGGTGACCCAGTTTTCAGTTTGCATTGTTTAAGGCACAGACTGAGCAGCTTTAATTGCAGAGTTCGTTGCATGAATTATGCTATTTTTGGTTCTATTTAATTCAGGAATCTGCCCTGGGTCTCAATGAGAAAGGTGGATTATAAATTAAAAGGTAAAGGTAAAGGTTCCCTTGCTCGAAAGCCAGTCAAATCCGACTCTAGGGTTGCGGTGCTCATCTCCGTTTCAAAGCCAAAGAGCCAGCGCTGTCCGAAGATGTTTCCGTGGTCATGTGGCCGGCATGACTAAACACCAAGGCGCACGGAACACTGTTCCCTTCCCACCAAAGCGGTACCTATTTATCTACTTGCAATTTCTTGCTTTCAAACTGCTAGGCTGGCAGGAGCTGGAACTAGAGACGGGAGCTCACTCCATCATGCGGCACACTCGGGTCTTGAACTGCTGAACTACCGACCTTCCACAGCCTGCAGTTCAGCGTCTTAACCACTTGAGCCACCGCAGCTTAAGTAAGTATAAATAAATAAATATGGGGGTGGGTGGGGCGGATGGAGAGCTCAATTTCCCATTTGAACTAAGCAGCTCTGCCATAGCTCACTTCAACCACGCTTGAGTTGCACTACAAGTGCTAAAAGGGAGGCCTCGTTTGAATCGGTAATGGATTCTTTATCCCTTTCTCGTCCGCTTGGAAGTGCAAAGGTGCTCTAGATGTGGGTGGGGGGGAAACCCATGCTAAAATAAGTCTCTTACGTAATTCAGTGCGTCGGTCTGGATTCCGGCATCCATCAGGACCCTGACCATGTCTTCAGAGCCATTCAGCACGGCGTAGTGGAGGCAGGTCATCTTTTTCTGAGCGAAGGGAACAGACTGGCATTAATCCAGGGTAAGATATTCCGTGCTTCCCTCCCCATTAACCAGTAATTATGTCTCAGAAAGCAGCCGTGCATCCCTCAAGGAAGGAATGAGACTGAGATGTTGGGGAAACAGTTTTTAACCTGTCTTTCCTAGCACTGTTTCCCTGAACAAAACTGTACCCTGCCTTCCACTCTGGCTGCATTTAACCTTGGGGTGGGGGGAGAGACCGGCCTAATGAAGAGAAGAAGAAGAGATTGGATTTATACCCCACCCTTCACTACCCAAAGGTGTCTCAGAGCGGCTTACAAACTCCTTTCCCTTCCCCTCCCCACAACAGACACCCTGTGAGGTAGGTGGGGCTGAGAGAGCTCTTGACAGAAACTGCTCTTTTTTAAGAACAGCTCTTATCAGAACTACGGCTTGCCCAAGGTCATCCAGCCAGGTGCAAGTGGAAGCATGGGGAATCAAACCTGGTTCTCCCAGATTTGAGTCCGCGCACTTAACCACTTAAGCAGCTGCAGTGGCTCAAGTGGTTAAGATGCTGAACTGCACGCTGTGGAAGGTCGGTAGTTCAGCAGTTTGAGACCCGAGTGTGCTGCATGACGGAGTGAGCTCCCGTCTCTAGTTCCAGCTCCTGCCAACCTAGCAGTTCGAAAGCAAGACATTGCAAGTAGGTAAATAGGTACCACTTCAGTGGGAAGGTAACAGCGTTCTGTGAGCCTTGGTGTTTAGTCATGCCGGACAGCGCTGGCTCTTCGGCTTTGAAACGGAGATGAGCACCGCAACTCTAGAGTCCGATGCGACTGGCTTTCGAGCAAGGGAACCTTTACCTTTTTACTTAACCACTACACCAAACTGGCTCTCAGTTTATAATCCCCATCTTTTTTCTTCCTAGGGTTGGTGTTTTACGTTTTATAGTACCCATCTTTTTTCTTCCTCAGGCTGGTAAGGTATTCACCGTTACCCTGATCAAAACTCTCCTCTGCAGTTTCTAAGGGGAAGAAGACAGGCACAATACAGATGCCTGTCTTTTTTCCCCTACCAGGACTAAATGCAGTTGCAGAAAGGCTAGCTTTGATCAAGGCAATGGCACAGGGGGGAATTAAAAAAGAATCACTCTTCCATAACTCTGTGGCCCTCAGCCACACTGGTGTGGGGGGGGAGCCGATTTTTGACACTAAATTCTCCGAAAAAGCTAGACTCGAGTTCCTTCTATCTGATAGAAATCCCAAGATTACCCACCAAGTAGCCAGTTTTTTTATGGTGATACTCAGATCACGGAAACCCCAAGGCAGCTAGTTAGATATAGTAGTTTGGTGTTAGATTAAATTTTGCTGGTCTACCTGCGTTTGGGCATTAACGTCACACCCTGCCCCCAAGAGCAGCTTCACGCTGTCGAGATGTCCACCTTCGGCAGCCAAGTGCAGCGAGGTCAGCCCTTCCTGGGAAGACAGGGGAAGAAACATTTAGATGCTTTGTTTCGCTCAGAGGAAATAATATACTGAATAGTGCCGTACGCCCCCCCCCCCCACATTAAAAAGCCTGTAATGGTGAGGGGTTAGAAATCTCACAGCCGTTATTGTTTTAACCCCACCCCCACCACCACTACCAAGGAAGTAAGAGACACCAGAGCGGGAAAAAGAGAACCAAATCATTTAAAAAGAAGGGATTGGCCAGAAGAAGAGAGGAAAATGGGCAATCGAGAAGGCTGTTGGAAAGGGAGGCGGTTGGGGAGGGGCCGTGGCTCAGTGGCAGAGCCCCTGCTTGGCATGTAGAAGGTCCCAGGTTCAATCCCCGCCATCTCCAGTTCAATCAATCAAACCTTTATCGGCATATCTTATTAAAACGGCATCTCAAGTTGAACGGAGCAGGCAGGAGGTGATATGAAAGGCCCGGGACCCTGCAGAGCGGCTGCCAGCCTGAGTAGGCAATTCCGACCTCGATGGACCAAGGGTGTGATTCAGTAGAAGGCAACTTCGTGTGTCCAGGTGAGGTAGGTTGGGCAGAGGGAGAGCGACAGGCCCAAAGTCACCCAGCAGTCTTCCACGGCGGGAGCTCAAAACGAGGTCTCCCAGATCCTAGCTTGATACTCTGACCATTACACCTCACAGCCATATGACCAGTGTTCCCTCTAAGCTGAGTTAGTGTGAGCTAGCTCACAGTTGTTTAGCCTCTGGTTCACAGATTCTTCTCTTAGCTCAGGAAGGATGGCCCCGGAGCAAACTAATTTATACAGTAGCCACATCGCTCGCTCACAACTTTAATGCCAGTAGCTCACAAAGTAGAATCTTTGCTCACAAGACTCCACAGCTTAGAGGGAGCATTGCATATGACCTCCAGACCATTCGGGTGGCAGCCTCCCAAACGAAGAATCATAAGGCACTGGGATGGTAAACTTTGACTTTGACAAGCCTTTATTGGCATATGTATATGCATACAATAGGAGATCAGGTTAAATATAGATCGGAAAATACAAATCAATATAGGGTAAAATGGGAGCTACGGTGCAGGAAAACAGCATAAAAACAGAAAAACCTAGTGGTTACTTATCAGAACGTATAGCCATAGCACTAAGAAGAAACCTTGCTACTCTTTCTGTTATTTCCGTATCTAGATTATCAAGCAAAAACAGAACCTTAAAATCGTCTGGAATCTCTGAGAATTGAGCTAATATAGGGTACAAAAGATCCTGGCACGGCACCAAATAAAAGGGACATTGAAGGAGAACATGGGGGACAGTTTCAACACAGTCCTTCTTACAAGGACAGCCCCTGCTGGAGGAGGGGGTCCCCTGGAATCTGCCAGAGAGAAGAGCAGAAGGAAGAACATTAAATCTGGCCAAGGAGATGGCTCTGCGCAAATTTGGAGCTATAAATTGATAAAGATACACAGCTGGAAGTTTTGCATTTGAAACAATCCCTAAATTTAGGGGAGAACAGGTTCTGTTAGCCAAACTATAGAGAGTTTGCTGCAAATTGAGTCTTATGTTCTGTATCTTATGCCAATAAAGGTTGATTGATTGATAGTTTGCAATTCTGAGCCCAATAAACTAGGTTTTATTTTTTAAAAAGCCTCAGGCTCAGAAAGCAAGGCTAGAGATTCTAAGGGTAAGACTGGGATGGTAAAAGCAGTCAAAAGTTAAAATCCCCCCTGTGCCACGAAGCTCACTGGCTGTGACCTTGGGTCTACCAATCACTCTGAGCGTAGCCTACCTTGCAGGGCTGTTGTGAGGACAACAGGGGAGGGGGTGAGTAACCATGCAAACGGCTCTGCTCTCCTCCGACAAAGAGCAAGATAAAGACACAAATCAATTCATTTCAGAAGTTTGAGTGGGAGGAAGAGATGGTGGGACATCTGTGGGTGGTCGGGGAGGTGAGGGTTATAGCGAGGGCATCTCACAGGAAACAAGGTCGGATTTCCATCTCACACCCTCCTTTGGCAGTGAGATGGCTCCATTCCTGGATCAGGAAAGAAAGCAGCCGATGTTCCCCAAAAAGGGGGGGGAGGAGGAACCAAAAATTCTTGATGGTTACTCACCATGTTATTCTCGTCAAGGTTCATCCCGACTTCTACGAGCTTCTGGACAACCCCTGTATGGCCGTTCTTCGCAGCTACGTGGAGGGCCGTATTCTTCTCCTGCAAACCAACGTGACACCCAGGCCCATCGCTATGGTGGGGCTTTCCCCCCCCAATCATTTTAAAACATTTTTAAAGGCATGCGCTCTAAGCAGAGCGGGGTGCTGTAGTTGACTAATTCCCGCACTGAGCGCGGGGGTTGGAGTAGGTGACCTCTAGGATACCTTCTAACTCTGTGTCAAGAAACTGCTCTCCCTGAAGATAGTTTTTCTGCCTACGTGCAAGCTTTCTTGACTGCAGAAGTCATCACCCCCACCTGCCAGCTTGTTCTCAGAATTGTTGCTTAGGCTGGCAGAAGTGATGAACTTGCAGTAGCTGAGAACTGTCATCTAAAGTGGTTGACAGCTTGCAACTCAGAGATTTATCCTGGTAACAGCTTTCTGCTGGCTTTTCTTTCTGCACTTTCAGCCCCACCAGGAAAAAACTTTTTGCCCCCCCAGCCACAAAATAGAGAACTGCCAGTCAGGAGCTGGGGTAGTGGTGGAGGTCGGGCACTTGGGGGCAGTGTTCCCTCTAAGCTGAGTTAGTGTGAGCGAGTTCACAGTTTTTAGCCTCCGGCTCACACCTTTTTGTCTCAGCTCGGGAAGGACAGCCTCAAAGAAAAACTATTCTATGCAGCGGCCCAATCGCTCGCTCACAACTTTGATGCCAGTAGCTCACAAAGCAGAATTTTTGCTCACAGGACTCCACAGCTTAGAGGGAGCCTTGCTTGGGGGTCTCCTTCCAAGGGCCAGCCTAGTGGGAGGAAGAACTATGCAAAGGCCATTTCAAAGTAGCCATGTTGGTCTGTAGCAAAAAAGCTAGATTCGATTCAGGAACATCACAGAGACCAACAAGATGTTTGGGGAGGGGTGTCTGAGCTTTTTAGAATCAAGGCTCCCTGTGTTGGATCTGACGAGGATGTGAAGGCAGCAGATCCAGAGAGCTCAACATTTCCAAGAGGAGCGGAACAACCTCCGTTCTTTCCGTACCTTGTCCTTGATGCTGTAATTGCAGCCACAGCCAATCAGGAACTCCACCACATCCAAGTGTCCGCCTTCTGCAGCCAGGTGGAATGCGGTTCTGTCCATCTTTTAAGGGCAGGAAGCAATCCCAACGTACATGCAAGATGAAAGGGGGGGGGAGATAATTTATTTCCTTACATCCTGACCAGTGTTCCCTCTAAGCTGAGTTAGTGCGAGCTAGCTCACAGTTTTTTAGCCTCCGGCTCACACATTTTTGTCTCAGCTCAGGAAGGAGGGCTCCAGAGCAAACTAATCTATGCAGAAGCCGAATCGCCCGCTCCCAGCTTTAATGCCGGTAGCTCACAAAGTAGAAGTTTTGCTCACAGCTTAGAGGGAACATTGATCCCAACCCCTCTTTTCTTCCCGGTGGGTATCCACGGTGGCTCACAACAGTCTCCCCTTCTTCAGTTGAGTGTAGTGGTTAAGAGCAGTGGACTCTAATCTGGGAGAACCGGGTTTGAGTCCCCACTCCTCCACATGCAGCCAGCTGGGTGACCTTGGGTCAGTCACAAGTTCTCTCAGAGCTGTTCTCTCAAGGGCAGTCCTCGAAAGAGCTCTCTCGGCCCCACCTACCTTACAGGGTGCCTGTTGTGGGGAGGGGAAGGGAAGGAGATTGGAAGCTGCTCTGAGACTCTGAGTGAAGGGCGGGGTATAAACCCAACTCGTCGTCGTCTTCTTCTTCATTTGATTTGTACAATAACCACCCTGTTAGGTAGGGTTAAGGCTGAGAACCTTGGGACTGCCCCCATGTCACCCAGCCAGCTTCCAAGGCAGAGCGGGGATTCAAGAACCGGGGGTCTCTCCAACCCTAGTCTGACACTCTAACCACCCTGCCTCCACTCATGCCAATACTGAACACTGCTTTTGCATCTGCAAGGCATTCAATACTGCATCAGAGGTGGTGCTATTTCGTTGCGATGGAACTCACACATCACAACACATGCCCCTTGCTTTATTTAGGGCTTTGTCTACCTTGGGGAAAACCCAGACTGACTGTTTTCAGACTTTCTAGCTCCAGGGATCTCTTCCTACATGCTTTAGAACCTCTGCTGGTCTGCCTCGGAAGCCCTGCAGAGGATTCTGGGAAGTGTTTGAGGGCCCTTTCCCCATCCACGAAGGGCATCTCTGCCAGCCCGCTGGGTCTTTTTGCCTGCTGCCAATGAAGCGCGAGCGGGCTCTGGACTCAGCATGGCGCCACGGTTGGCACGACGGAGGGAAAGACGGGCCGACTACCTTTCCAGGGGACAGGGCTGGCGTTAGCTGACCCCGAGGAAGGGCAGCTGCTGGGGCCCTGAGCTTCTGGGGGGGGCCGCCTCAATGATCCTGACTTGCACACCTTTCCTCCCCCTGCTTGTTTGCAAGCACGCCACGATCCGTGCCCCCAGCTGTACACACGAGACAGCATAGCTAGACAAAGAGCATGTGGGTGGTGCAGACAGACAGAACGTTGGCAGGGAGATGGCATGCGAAGGGGGTGCGAGGCACAGAACATGTGCACTGGCAGGTGCCAAAGACGGATCACCATGTTAAGTCTGTCTGTAGCAGTAGGCTGCGGTAGCTCAAGTGGTTAAGACGCTGAACTGCAGGCTGTGGAAGGTCGGTAGTTCAGCAGTTCGAGGCCCAGGTGCCACATGATGGAGTGAGCTCCCGTCTCTAGTTCCAGCTCCTGCCAACCTAGCAGTTCGAAAGCAAGGAATTGCAAGTAGATAAATAGGTACCACTTCGGTGGGAAGGGAACAGCATTCCGTGCGCCTTGGTGTTTAGTTATGCTGGCCACATGACCACGGAAACGTCTTCGGACAGCGCTGGCTCTTCGGCTTGGAAACGGAGATGAGCACCGCAACCCTAGAGTCGGATTCGACTGGCTTTCGAGCAAGGGAACCTTTACCTTTACCTTTAGCAGTAGAAAAGAGCAAGAGTCCAGGAGCACCTTCAAGACTAACAAAACTTAAGAGATTCTTCCAAGTAATCTTCAATATAAAAGATGATTTATTTTTGAGTTCACTTTTCGGTTTGTCAGTGTTTTAAATTAGAAGCTCAATGACTGATTTTTAAATATCGGGTTTGTATCGTTTAAAAAAATGGTTGTAACTTGAAAAAAAATCTTTGGCTCCGTTTGTATCGGTTCTACGTTCCTTGTTATTTGCTGCAAAGTGAAAATTGTTAATTAAAAAAAAAGACTAACAAAACGTGGGGGAGGGGAGGAGCGTTCGTGAGCT